AAAAACACTAGACGACATGACAAACATAAAATAATATAATTATTAATGTATTTAATTCATACTTAATCACATATAATACGAAAAACCATGACAAACACATGCTAAATTGTATCAATTTTGTGTTGAATTTTAAACACAAACATGACACGATACAAACTCGTGTTTTTGCATTTGATATGAACACAACACGAATTCGAATTTCAATTCCGTCCCAATTTCGTTTCGTGTCATGTATTTTTGTCGTGCCGTGTTATAAATTGACATTCCTACCGACATCAGGTGGTATTGGCGGTGAGGTAGTAAGGTAAGGACGTTGAGTGATTTGTGGTCTTTTTGAGTAGCAAGGAGTCAAGGATTGAGTTTTTGATTGAGTATGACACATTGCACTCGTAAGTCATAATTCATAAATAATTTATTTTTTTAAATCAATAAATATTGGCAGATTAACCCATAAACCCAAACACGTAACCCAACCTGGCCTATAAAATAAACGGATTGGCAGACCATAATTTTCAATCCAAACTGTTTATTTCCATATCAGGTTACAGATTGGGTCGATAATTTTCACTCCTAAAAACTTTCTTTTTTGTGCTAGAAATCTTTAATGATCATTTTCATTGAAAAAAAAGTTTTATAATATAGTTGTGACAAAAGAAAATGCAAATAATAATAATAATAATAATAATAATAATAATAATAATATCAAAGAAGTCCCTACGAAGATGATATGGTACCTACAAATTTCGTGGCAATTTCTTAAAATCCTAATTTTTTGTTCCCCAATTATTGGAAAACACTTAGCTGCCCGGAGTGGTGATAGAAACTCACGCGTGAAGCTGAGTTGCATCCTTAGAGACGCGTGAACACTGCCACAAGGGTCAGTGCTCTCGCTGTGGCGTCTTTGTAGGAGCTTGCTATTGGCTCGCTTTTTTTTTTTAACCGTTTGGAGCCTTGGAAGCAATTAAAAAAAAAAAACCTTTCTTTGAAGATGTGAAATATGCAGGCGTGTTCAAGTGAAGAAGATGAAGTTTGTTTAATTAAAAGAGACAGCATATCTTTCAACAATTGTCAAACTATGGTCCCTTAATTTTGGGTCAAAAGCAGGAAAAAACCTTGTCCCTAATTTCCTTTTCAAATAGGTTTTAAAATTTGCAAATTGCCAAATTCCACTCTAGACTTATTATTATTATTATTATTATTATTATTATTATTATTATTATTTATGTTTTTTTTAGTAATTTAAGTTTAAATTTTTATGTTTTTTTTTATTAATTTAGGTTTTAAATTTAAGTTATGTAATGGAGCTTTAAATAATGTAAAATATATTATTATGTTTTTTTGTTTAACTTAATAATAAAAAAAATAAAAAATGAAAAAAAGAATATGATGGAGTGATAACTATTTACAATGTTTAGTGGGTTGGTGGTAAAACCAACGTGTTGCAGAGGTGACATTACTTTTTCGGTAGGTTGGTAGTGACCATTCCCCATAACCTTATGAGGAAGCCTAATTTATATAATTTTTTCTCGGTAAATAAGTAAGGAAAAAACAAACACTTGTACAATGAAAAACTAATTATTCAAGAGCTTGTTTTGTAAACTTGTAATTTTCGTACAAGATTTAAATAATGAACCGTCTTGTGTAAATTGGTTGTTTTAACCGGAGAAATGTTTGTCGATCATCAAATTGTGGTCAATTGTAAACTTCTACGAGTATTTAAAATCTATATATTTATACGGTTATTTACAAGTACATCCAAAATTGATATAAGGCTATGGGGAGTGAAATATGTTAATGGGTGCTAAAGGGTGCTACACACCAGCTAGAGCTGTACATGGTACGATACAAATTAATTTTTACACAAACTGTGTACCATACCAACTATAGTTGGGATAAATTATTTTGCTATCAATACCGTACCAACTATACTTGGTACCGATTTGTTTGACTACCAACAAGTTTGTTGGTACAAATTGGTAATGGTATATTACCAACTTTGATCTAATTTTCAATTGTAATACTTAAAGACCAGTCACGGTATGGGACACTTTTCTCTTCTAATAATATAAATTAATAAATTAACTATTCTAATTACTAAGAAATTTTAATAAGTAACTTTTCAGTTTTTTTAATCTAATGTGGTAATAACTATTGACTAAGTATAATGTCTAATATCATATTTTTAAAATAGTAAACAGTAAACACTTGATATTTAAAAATACGATTACGATTATATATATATATATATAAGTTGGTTGGTACGGTAATACCGTGATATTTAAAATTTAATACCATTATCGTATCAAGTTTGCTGAATTAGTACGGTACTACCAACCATACATGTTGACTATCAACTTTATTGGTTCGGTTGGTAACATGTTGATTGATTCTCCGTGGTACATATGTGACAGCCCTAACACAGGCCATTACCCTTAGCTCTCGCCAAGGAGATCGCTAGTGAGAGGAGAAAGAAGAACTCCAACTTACCATAATGGTCCCTATCCTTGATCCAATAAATCATTTGACACCCATAATCTTTAAATACTTATTTAATGCAATTTACATCCATAATCTTTGAATATTTATGGACAAAATATTTATTTAATGTAATTTTTTCTCTAATTTTTTTAGTCGTGTTTTAAATCATTTTGTAATTTTTTTATTCAATATGAAATATATGTGTTTTATAAAAATAGAATTTATTTAAGTTTGAAAATAAACAAATAAAAAATGCATCTATTGTGCTACCACTTTCCAATAAATAAGGTGGCATCATAAAAAATGAGGTGACGCTGTTACGTGGCAATATGCTAAGGCAAGATGGTGTAGTGTTACCTTTACCATACTCTCTTATTGCAATATAAACGTCACCTCATTGTCATGTCATTTTTACCAAAAAAATATGTGGTTCTTTGCCACACATTAGGTGTGGGAACCACGACGTGCCACATTAATTTTTTAAAAATTTAATTTAAATAAAACTTAAAATTTCATTAGTTGAAATAAAAGAAATACATAGTAAAATTATAAAAACTTAGAAACTTCAAACCACAAAAAACATAAAACAGAAGTACACAAATAAAGAAACTAAAACATGGGGAAGACATTTTCAAATGATTTTGAAAGAAATAGAGATGTTGGTGTGGTTTAAAATATTAATGTTTATGAGTATTTATAGGATATAAAATTTGAGAAAAAAAAACTTAGCAACTAGTCGTTGGAAGTGAGAGATATGAGGAACCACATGGTGGGAACGGTAGAAGCTAGCCGCATTGGTAGAACCGCGGTAGGAACCACATGGTGGGAACGGTGTGCCGTTTTGTTGAGGTGTTGAATGACGACTACAACCGAGTCTGAGGATGTTATCACTCTCTCTAAGCCTAAGAACTAACTTTTTCAAATGAAAATAAATTATAGACATTTCACATCAACAAGCTAAGTTGATAGAACAAAAAAACTACGAATTACCAAATACGACATTTTAAAATGATTTAATACAATTTAGTTAATGAATCACAACCATATTAGATATTTCCCATCCATCATACGCAACATTGACCATTGTAGTCATTGAAGCTTGGAAATATTCTTAATTCATCTTCTAACAATATATTTTTCAAATGTTTGGATAACGCATTATGCAAAGTTAAAAGTCCCATATTTGATTACTACAACTTTATTGGAATCTATGAACAAGAAGATCAAACCAATATCCCTATAAGTGTTACTATTTGTATCCCTCTTTTACATAAAAAAAGCAAACACTCAGACTCATCCACTTACATGTGACACTTACATAGAAGGGGTACACCAAACAATGGGTTACATTTATAGAATAAGCCTATCCTATTTGTGTTGAATGTCTATCCAGTAGTCAATTGTCGATATAAATGATACGCATGACATCAATCCAAAATTGTAATCTATAATGCTATAAAGTTGAGGCTTGAGATGAAAAAGCAAAACCCATTTTTCAAAAAGAATCACCAACATCAATAATGTATCGGAATCGAATCAAAGGTATAATAACATAACCCTATTTCAGTGGAACAGACCCGACCATTTGTAAAGAGATTCCAAATTGTTTCTTGACAATCAACTTACAAGAATCCAACATTAAAGGCGTGTTGCCATGATAAAAATATGCAAAAGTATATATGTTAGTGACAACGTATTATTTACAAAAGTGTATTGTGTATTGCAAGGTGCACGTTAAAATATTTTTAATTAAGGGTAATATTGTAATTTGTTGTAAAACGTAGGCAACTTTTTATTTTTAAGGGTAGTATTGTAATTTGCTACAAAATATAGGCAACTTTTAACATAAATGTTATTTGAATTAATTTTTAGATTATGAGTTTTTGGTTTAAAATAAAAGTTAAAAAGTTAAAAGCCTTTTTTTTCATTTTTCCAAGTTTCTTCTTAAATTTAAAAGCTAAAAGCTTTGTCCCAAACACATCGAATATATTTTCATATAATTAGAAATTACTTTGTAGCTACACATACCAAATTTAAAAGTACGTTAAGTAGTTTACAGTTAACAAACTTAACAGGAAATGTGAAACCGACAAAATAAAAACATGTTCTGCCGTTATATATAGCTCGCTAATGTAAATGTGAATGAACTAATGTGTATTTGTTTTATAAATACGCGCAACATAAATAAATATGAGTGTAAAATAGATCTGAAAACCATGAAGCGAAAGATAAGATTACATATAATAAGAATTAATTAGATTAATCAAAAGTCTTAAAAAAAGTATATTAAAATGAATTGTCACGTTTCCAAATATGACTTGGTCAAATTTGAGGAACCTTTGAACAACATTAGTCGATAATAAACAAACCAAACGTGGTCATATATGATTATGTTGACCATCAAATTATCCAACTATAAATAATAATAATAATAAAAAGAATCATTTCTGTAATTGGCCTAATAACTCCACAGATCACCAAACCCTTTTCAGAAAAAAAAAAAAAAAAAAAAAAACAAAATAAAAAAAAGTTCATATAATTAAAGTCTTTGTATATTTGTATTTCTATATATCTTCTCTTTCGGCCTTTTCTTCAATGTAAAGAAGCATTTTCTCGTGAATACGCGTATGGAGATGCCGACACCTGCCTGCACAATTTTCCAAAATAGAAGATAAGCAAAGAATGATTTTAATTAATTGATATTTACATTTAAAAAGAATAAAAAAATTATCAAAAAATTTAAACGTTGTTATTGATGAGATGAAATCAAAACAGAAATTTGTAACAAACCTTTCTTTGCGCTTTTCCAGAAACCTCCTCAACGATTTCTTCCGTGATAATGGCAGATCTGATGAAAACGAACCAAATACACATCAATAACCGGTATAATCCTAAGCAAATCGTGGAAATTGGAAAAGTAATGGAGAATCAGAAGTTGTTAAACAGATTGTATACGTCGACGTTGCGTACCTTTGTTGAGTGCTCCGCCTACCGCCGGATTTTGGTTGCTAACAGTAGTAGGCTTCACAGGTGTTGGTTCAACAACAGTCTTATAACCTAAACTTCCACTCTCAGCAAGCTTCATGATATTCTCCGCCTGAATAGGAGAAACGTCGAAAACAGAAACTATTCCGTTGTAGAAGATCGTCAAAGGAGCGCCACATCTAGCCATATTAACACTGCTACAATCCTGATTAAAAACCGGCAGAGTTTCAGATTGCTGAGGAGATGAACCTGACTTGCTCCCCACAAAACTCATGTTAGCAGATGCGGAAGCAATCGCAGTCTTCAGAAGCGCCGGATTGATCTTCGATATCACGCCTTGGATGTCTACACAACCATATCCAGTAATCCGGATCAGGAACAATGCGGATATAACGTAATTAACACAATAAACAAGTTAACAGCAAATTAAACCTACCACGACGATCAGAAAGCTTCTTCGGAGCGGATAATGATTCAGCATTGAGACGAAAGAAATCGATTTCAACAGCAGGTGATCCCGACATGATCAATTGCAAAGGATTCGTAATGGAGATATTGATTTGATTTTGATTCGAGAGAGAAAAAAGAGGGAGAGAAAGAGAAAAAAAGGAAGTGAATATTATTATGATGGGGAAAATAGTGATAAATAGAATAATAATTGTGTTGTGCAATATGCACGAGATAAATGTGATAAGGTGCCGTGAACCCCGTGTTTGATTCTTTGAGTCGTCTCTGATATATATTTTGGACTTTGTCACTTTCCTTTCGTCAAACACGCTTTCTTAGTTACTTTTAATTATTTTAATAGAAAAAAAGGAAGAGTCGTGGAAAGATTTGGACCCGTTGTTTGATTCGTATTGGGGACTCTAAAGTACAATAAACTAATTTTCTAAACAAATGGTAAATGGTAATTTATATATAACAAAGTGTAAATTATAAGTTTGGTATCTTTACTCTTTTTATAAGTGTGTGTTTTCATTGTACTCTTTTAATCATTATTTTTTTTTCTTTCAAAGATGGTAAGTGTATCTGTATGGTGTAATATCAATGAATTCAATTAACCTAAATTTTATTTCAAAAAGTTATTTAGTCGGTGGGATGCACACCTCAAAGAGCCCACGCCACACTAGATTATCATTACCAACAGGGATTTATTCAAAAAGGACTTTCAAACACCGTCTCTTTTTCAATTTGATAAAGTTCAAGCCTACGATTCTACACTTCAAACAATCATGTTAATCAAAGAGAGATGAGAAATCGATGGATCAAAAACTTTTATTGGCTTATTGCATGTCTGAATGAATCAAATGGTTGTTAGACTATTAATATACACATATTAGGCCCATGTATTTCTACTCTACTTTGTGTATCTAGGACCCATATTTTGTACCTACATATTAGTTATGGGAAATATACCGACTCATAGGGACATGGTAGATATTTAAATTCTCTCTCTCTCTCTCTCTCTCTCTCTCATATATGAGAAATATACCAACTCATATGGTAGTTTTGATTTAAAACGAACATGACACGGATACGAATTCAATTGATTTCGTCCCAATTTTGTTTCATGTCTTGTTGAGTTTTGACACCCCTACTATCAAGCACGTAATACTTTCCCACCCTCTCGTATGGTGGTGTCCACCTATTTTCACATGTTTGTTCCTTAAATAGAGTATGTTTTGTTTTGTAAGTGAGCCGGTTCTTGTTGGGTTTCTTTTATATATATATATATATATATATATATATATATATATATATATATATATATATATATATATATATATATATATATATATATATATATATATATATATATATATACTTGTTAAAAATCAAGGTCTCTATTGAAAACCCTTAACATTATGAATATGCATGCCTACTTCCCTCTCATTCTAGATCTTGATGAGCTGAATTACGATGCATGACTTTAACATTTTGAAGCTTGTTTGTGTAAGCTTAAGTGTTTACATTCACTTTGAAAATCCACACCTACTACCTCTCTCGAATGGAAAAGTATAAAACCATGGATTTCCGAAACAAAAATCTTTAGTTTATCCTTTTTTATCTTTTCTCTCCTGTCGTGCATGAAGATGAACACCCAAAATAATATGTCTTTATAACGGATCCTTTTTTTTTAATTTTAATTTTATTATTTTTTTTATCTCTTGCTACTTACTTCATCACAAACAAGACTAATGGGTTCTTCTATTGTAGCTTGGGCTGCCATTTAATTAATATATGTTCTCTCGTTCGCAGCTTGTTGCCCGGTTGCCTTTCGTCGTCGATATGTATTGACTTCTTTTAAACAAAAAAAATATTAATTAACATGATCCTTAACAATAGTGTAATTTTTGGTTGTTTCACATTAGCCACCAACACTTTCAATAGTTTAACAATTTAATCCATATTTTGTATGTTTCAAGATTTTGCCAAAATACTTTGTATAGTTTGATAATTTTAGTCCCTAACATGTTATAATTAGAGACTAACAACATGTCTTTTAATATTTGTCACTTGATGTCCATTTGACCATTTTGGCCTTCTTTTTGTTATTTTTTTCGTCTCACTACTTATTTTTCATTACAGATTGGCCACACGTGTTTTAACATTTTTCACTTTCAGTCCCTTTGACCATTTTGGCCTTCTTTTTGTCCTTTTTTTCGTCTCACTACTTATTTTTCATTACAGATTGGCCACACGTGTTTTAACATTTTCACTTTCAGTCCCTTTGACCATTTTGACATTCCTTTTGTCCGTTTTCCGTCTACAAATTTGTGCTTCCGTTTTGGGCTTCATTTTGTCGTCGTTTTCTCATCATCTATCATTTGTGAATAAAACAAAATGCATTTCAGTTATATCGGGTTCAATAAACGTACAAGAACAGTCACAAGGGTGACCTGTTCCTTTTGACTATTTTGGCTTTCTTTTTGTTCTTTTTTCGTCTTACTACTTATTTTTCATTATAGATTGGCCAAATGTGTTTTATTATTTCTTACTTTCAATCACTTTGACCATTTTGTCCTTCCTTTTGTCCATTTTCAGTCTACCGATTTGTGTTTTCATTTTGGGTTTCATTTTGTTATTGTTTTCTCATCGTCATCCTTTGTGGGTAAACCAAAATGCATTTCAATAATACCGGGTTCAATAAACGTACAAGAACAGCCACAAATGTGACCCGTGGTTCCCCACTAGTTTATTTTAGGGGTTGCTACTAGTTTCCAACATGAGCAGCCAACATAATAAAAAAAAATCAGATTGTGGAGCTAAATTTAAATCAAAACGGACTTTAAAACTCTCTTTAAATGACTTGCTGAAAATCTTTTGCTGGGTAGATTTTGATGTTGTTCACGAGGTCCAAATGGTGCATAAAAATTTATCCATATCCAATATTCACCTTCCAAATTTAAGACCAACAAGTTGGGAAGACCTTTGTAAAATTTCAGCTCAATCCGGCCATGTTTACCCTTCGATCCATCCATTTAATTTAGACTACACGATGTTGGTAGATTCCTAAAAAATTCATTTAAATCACTTTATTTGTAACATCCCAAAAATTCAGAATAAAATTTTCATTTTTAAAAACACTTAAACCATACAATTGGGTTGTTTTAAAACTCGTTACATTGATTAAATCATTTTAACATCAAATTAAAATCATAAATAGCTAATGTTGAAAACGTCGGGGGATGTTGTACAATCACATCAAGCATTTCCCTTTGCAACCAGAAGTACCTGAAATCATAAACACATAACCAATAGCACAAATCTTAATGAGTTTCCCTCAAAATACCACATACCATACATATCATTAGTCCTAGCCCGCAAATTAAGCCTAACCTATAATAATGGGAAAGTGTTAATTAGAGATTTATTGTGTTATAGGAGGACTGTAGCTCGGGAGATCGAGCACTAGTGATTTCAGGGATTTACGAGTTACCGAGATACGCAAGGTGAGTCTTTTCACTATAATTTACCTTGAGTAGGTAAATAGAGTTATGTGATACAGTGATTTATATATATATTGTTTGTTGCACTGCATTCTTCTATGTGATTTATGCTATGCATGCTTGCAGAGTTAGAACCTGAGGGTTCACAGAGTTTTGGGTGCATGGACCCACAGAGTTATAGCCTCAAGTGGCTAATATGTATTATATGTGGTATTTTGGGGAACTCACTAAGCTTTGTGCTTATAGTGTTTTGTGTTATGTGTTTCAGGTACTAGTGAGGATCACAGGAAGACGCCGGCTTGATCAGTACACACACGGGATTTTATGCTAAGAGATCTTGGGATTGTTATATGTTATAAATTGAGTTTCAAACAATGATGTTTTTATGATTTACAAATGAATTATGTTTTTATAAATGCGAAAAATTGTTTTGGAAATTTACGGTGTTACAAGTTGGTATCAGAGCCTTGGTTTGAGGGATTCGGGTACACCTTCGGGAGTATTTGAACTCAAACTGAGGATTTGGAAAATATTTTCACAAGAGAACCAAATTTTCTAAAAGAAGTAAAAGATTTTTAGAGAAACACAGAGCAAAAACGTGTGTACGATCAGTCAGCGCCCGAACGGTGATTTCCCAAAATACCCTTATGCTATATTTTTATGAGATTGATATGATGTATTCTCTTGCTAGAGTGGGCTAGGTATTCCTATTAGGACTAGAGTGGCCTGATTTGTGATGCCTTAGCCTAGGGAGAGGTGAGCTGCTATAAGATGCTTGAGAGTGAGTAGGTAGCAGCGAGGAGCTTATGAGAAATCTGTTAGAGAGTGGATTATGCATAGTAGAGTACTTGAGATTTGGGATCTGAAGAGGAGGACTTGGGGTGTATACTGATACGGTGCAGACAGTAGTATTGGGCCCGTACTACTGAAAACACCGGGGCGGCGTACAGTCCAAGTAATAATCTTTGGGATGCTAGGGATCAAGGAGGGATGAGTTATCGAGTGCGAGTATACTCGAGTGAATTTCTAATATATCGTATGTTGTATTTCAAAGGTAGATCATGGTGAGGACACGTCTTATGCCAGAGAGCAGTGGGGCCAGTGATGAGGAGATTCGCCGGATCATCCATGCGAAGGTGGTTGCGGCTATCAGGGCAGAGATACCAGAGATGTTCGGGTCTATTAATACCACGTTGATTGAGACTTTTGACGAGCGTTATGCTGCTCTTTCTGAGGTTGCTGTTGCAGCGGCCACCGCGGCTGTTGCTGCTGCGAGGCCGCAGGGTAGTGATGTGTTGTTGTTCCAAGAGTTCAGCAACACGAAGCCACCAGAGTTTGATGGGATGCAGGATCCGATTGCAGCGATGAGATGGGTGTCTGACATTGAAGGTTGTTTCTACACATGCTCGTACCCAGAGCACTTGAGGGTTCGGTTTGCGCTTAACCAACTTCGCGTGGGGGCGAAGGACTGGTGGAAGTTCACGACAGCACACTATTCTCCAACAGAGCTTGTTGCGGTGACTTGGGAGAGGTTCACCACCATGTTTCGTGATGAGTACGTTCCTCCGGTGGAACGGGATCGGTTAGCACAAGAGTTTTTGACTCTCAAGCAAGGTACAGAGTCCGTTACAGTTATCACCAGGATGTTTCATGAGAGGGCGATGTTCTGCCCTGAGCACGTGTCTTCTGAGCAGGCACGTATGAGCCGTTATTTGAGTATTTTGCGGAGAGATATTCGGGAGTTCGTGGCAAACTCCTCATACCGGATATTTT